ATGTTCATTTCCTAGGTAGGATGATATGCATTCATGGTATATAATACAAACAAATATGTGTTAGGTTAAATTGAGGTTTCTATCATTTTTTACTTTTGAGGTTAAAATTTACGTTTTTTTATTTTTTTTATTTTTTTAAAATTATATTAACTTTTCACTTCTATACATATTTTTTTATAAAAAATTAAAAATTATACTTATTTAATACTTTTCAAACAACTCCAACGTTATGGACAGCTCGTGAATTCGATGTTTAAATGACACGTAAACCAAATGAAAGCACAAGAAAAAAAAAAAAGTCATGCCAGTCCCCACTCTTGATTGTCTTGCACACCAATCACATAGTAAACAGTAATTTTCTCGTATCTATATGACGACGACGATGACTCCTCCTCGGATTCCATATTTTTTCACAGGAATTTTTCCATGCAAACTGGTTTGAGTTCAAACACAATACCCGTTCCAAATATTTAAATAATCTTCAACGATAACAAAAGAAATTGAGTTCACAATGTTTTAATCACGAAATCCAACTCAATTTTTTAAAGAAAATTGAAGCTCTGCAACAGTTGAAGGAGGTGTGTTATCAAGTGCTACGCCATTCAAAGAATAATCAATCAGAATTATGAAGGAATCATTCACCCAAATCGTGAGCTATGAACAATATCATGAAGAAATAAGCGCAACCTACTGTATCAAGTTTCAATCAGAACTCATGATAAACAAATCACGCCGTCCTCGCAAACCCAGTCCTCCCCATTCCCTGCGCCACCGAGCAACTGTAATCAGCCACTGCAATCACCTATACAGCAACCATGGCTTCTACCAAACCCAAAACTCACCATATAAGGAGGGTTGGAAACCAGTAAAGTTGAGTCGAGTTTTAGTATATTTGGACTTATTTATTAAAATTTTTACGAGTTCAAACTTGATTTTGAGCTTAATAAAAATTTAACAAACCGAGCTCGAGTCGAGTTGGCTTGGGCTGGACTTGACTTGACTCGACTCGAGCTAGAACTTGATCACGAGCCTTAACGAATCAAAAAATTTATAAATTACAATTGTATATGAAAAGTTACAATTAAAATTTTTATTATACAATTATATATGTAATATATATAAACATATTAAAAAAAAAGTCAATATTTTACTAAAATAATAATATTGATAAATATATTATCTATAGTTAGTTATTATTTACATTTCTATTTTTTTAAATATATAAATAACATATTTATCTTATTTTTTTATACATATTTTTATAGTATTTGATATATAAATAATAAATGTAAAACGTGCCAACTAACGAGTCGATTTTACGAGCAAAGTTTTAATATATTTGAATTTGTTTATTAAAATTTTAACGAACTCAAGCTTAAACGTAAAAAAATTTAATGAATCGAGTTCGAACGAACTTTTATCGAGCCGAGGTTGAATTTATTTGCAAAAGATTCTATTTATTTGCAGCCCTAAAGAAACTCAATAGTTGCCGGTAATCAGGAGAAGGGCTCATTCAGGAGAAAAGACAACAACGGCGTAAAGAGAGGGGACTCAAGTGGAGTGAGGCTCTTTACTTCTATTTTTAATTTTTTTCATTTGACATAGGTGTCAGCTAGGCTTTGAAGAACCGTAATGTTGATATTCACGCACTATCCATGTATAACTTTTTCTTTTGGTGTTTTTTTTTCTAACCTTGAAAATCGTTTAAAGTTCTGTCAAACACCACCAAAATTGTGATTGTGAATATAGAAAGTGACTTCTCGTCGGTTTTAATCTAATTGTTTTTTTATGAATCCAATTTGGACTCAACTTTACTTACCATAATTATTTATTTTGTCTTAAAAAAATATGTATTTTGTTTATATTTTTAAATAAAAAAATGAATAATTGTTGAATTTTTTTAAATGAGATTGAAAATTGAATAATGTATATTTTGTTTATTATGATTGAATAATGTATCAATAATTGAATAATGTATAATTCACCTAACTCCAAATTGAATAATGTATAATTGGTTTATTATGTTTCGCCTAACTCCAAAGCAGATATAATTCGTAAGAATTATACATATAATTCGTCCTCTCATAGAGAGATGTGGGATACGTGGACTTGTTGAGTGCACCCACATAACTCGCCAGAGGTAGTTACCATAGACAGCATCAAATAAAGCAGCTAACTTCTCCTCCAAACTAGCACGATATTGTTTACTTTGGAGTTGGGCAAAGCCAACAGCTAACCCCTCACGACTTTAAAAGGCTTCATACTAGTCTAAGGGAGTTAGTCCACTTATCTAGTAGAGCTGTGATCTCTCACAGAGCGATGTGGGATGTGTAAACTCGCCGAGTGCACCCGCATAACTCTCTAATGGACTCACTGCTTGAGTAGGGATTTTCCACAGACGCCGCCAAATGAAACAGCTAACCATTCCCGACTAACACGATATTGTCGGCTTTAGAGTTAGGCATAGCCAGGAGATAACCCCTCACGGCTTTAAAAAGGCCTTATACTAATTTAAGGGAATTAGTCTATTTATATAGTGGAGCTGTGATCTCTCATAGAGCCATATAGAATGTGTGGACTTACCGAGTACACCTACAACTATAGTCAATTTAGTTTTGAAATATTAACATAAATATAGTAAATCTCATTATTTAAAACCAAACACCATGATGGTAGCCTCTAACATGGCAATATCTCTCAAATATGCAATAATTGCTTCAATACTGGGGGTGTTTGTTTGAGCTTTTTTGAGCTAACTTATGACTTCTGGCTTTTGAAAAGCTATTTTGGACTATTTTGTTAAACTTATTTCAAACAGCTTCTGATTCTAACAGCTTATTTTAAGTCAAAAAAGCTAATTCTGAGAAGCTGCTCACCCCTTACTTCTAATTATCAGCTTCTGCTGTGGACATGTTAATTTACGGTTATACTCTTAGATTTTTTTATTTTTTATTTTTTTAAAAATAGAAAAAGATCCAAATGGACTATAGAATATTATTATTATTTTTTATGAGAAATGTAGACAAGTAGTGAATAACAAAAATAAATATTTATTTAAAAAGCTACTTCACTGTTTATTTAACAAATACTACTCAGCAACTTAAATCTATAATCCACCAACTACATCAAACAGATTAACAACTTCTGATTAAAGTCATAATCTATAATCTGTTAAGCTATAATCTATAATCCGTTTTAACAGCTACACCAAACGGGGCCCCTATATATATTATTTTAGTAATTTTTTAACTAAAATATGGGGTAAAAAAATTTAGTATGTTTGGAATGATTTTTTACTTTTTTACTAAAAAATATGCAAAAAATAGAGAGAGAAAAAAATTTGACATTTTGGCATAGGTTTTAAGCTTTTTAATTGTTTTAGTAATTTTTTAACTTTTAAGTTAAAAGTGTTGCATGCCAAACAAGGCCTAAATGAGTCAATGAGTTTGTGTGAGTGGGCAGATAAATTTGGGTTCCGCTTGATTTACTTTTTAAAAAGAATTTTGGATTTTGAATTGTATTTTAAAAGATAAATTATAAAAAAAATTAAAAATTAAAATTTTGTTTGGTTATAAATTTTGAAAATAATTTTATGATGATTTGTAATTTATTTATTTATTTTATTTTTTTTGTAATTGATTAGATAGATGTAAAAGAAAATTTAATTGATTGATGTATACAATATGTGAGAATGAGAGAGGAGAGGAAAAAAGTAATTAATTGATTTATTAATATAAAAAAAAAGAGAGAAGGAAAGAGGAGAGAGAGAAAATAAATCAAACATGTTTTTTAATTTTTTGATTTAAATATTAATTTAAAAACTAAATCAAGCTTACCTTGAGCTTTCAATTTGAAAAAAAAAAATAATAATAATAATAATGTTGACATGATACCATCTAATTGACACCCAATTCCAATTTGACAGGTAGAAAGTATTTCTCCGAACTTAAAATAATAATAATAATAATAATAATTTTGCATAATTGTAAACAATTTTTGTTTTTGTTTTTTTTTTTGCTAGGGGAGGAAATTTTCTTTACAAAATCGATAAAATTTGAATCAATCCGGTACCGTGGTATTACAAGATCTCAAAGGGCATGTTTGATTGGAAGGATTAAAGCATGGGATTGGGATTATTAATCCGTGGGCCCAATCATCCTATGTTTGTTTTGACATTTTGGTTTAGGATTATTAATCCAATAGATAATTAATCCAACAAATTTGTAGGATTATTAATAATGGGGTAGGGGTGGGATAGCTAATACCACACTAATTTAATAGGATTATTAATACCTCACTATTAGTATTGTGAATCAAACATGGCCAAAAAGAATAAATAATCTTTATAGAATGAAGGATTCAAACCTCAATAGAGGAGGAGAAAATGTCCCTACCAGAGAAGAAAACAAACCTCCACATAGAAAGGATTATTACACGAACAAATTAAAAATTAAGAAAATTAAACAACAAAAAATCATATCCAATTTGTCACCAAATTCATTCAAAACTCCACTACTCTGCAACCTTTAACTTGGAATTTAAAGATTTCATCTCCGTTGATCAAGATAGAACACTGAAAGTGAGGTGGTCACCTAACATAAAATAAACGCGTTATTCAGTATCAGTTTTCGGATTGTGAGAAGATCTAAATTTAGATCTTTAATTTTGAATTCGAGAGCGAAAAAGATAATATAGTGATAGTCGAACTAGTGAGACAAATATCGAACCTCAATTAATCTAGAGAAGGATTGGAGAAAGGGAGAGTGGAGGGACATAAGAAAGGTGAGGAACGGCCGTTGTCTCTCTTTTCACTTGTAGGAAATTCCAGAGAAAAAAATTAAAAAAAAAAAAATTAGAGTTTTTAGCTTCCTTTCTTTTTGTTTATGATATTTTTCTGAGAGTTTATTTATAATAAAATTTATTATATTAAATTTCAAATAAAACCCACGGACTTAACACCATTTCGAATCCGTGTAGTAAGGTCTATATAAAGGCCCTTGTAGTAAGGCCCATAGTGTGTGTGTTTTGTGTTAACAAGCGATTAGTCTCCTTCAAGCACTCTCTGTGTAAGTATTTTCCTCTAAAAAGTAGTAAGGCCCATAGTGTGTGTGTTTTGTGTTAACAAGCGATTAGTCTCCTTCAAGCACTCTCTGTGTAAGTATTTTCCTCTAAAAAAAATTTTTTGTGTATAAATTATGTATTAAACTTTACCTTATTTCCGTGTGTGATCTTTATTTTTGTTGTCATATTTTGTGTCATAATAATATACTTGTTTGTTTATGGCTTACACATCATTTCTTTCATAACAAACAATTATAAGTTTCATAGAGCATCTCTAATGATATATCAATTTTTTCATTAAATTTGAGTAAAAATTTCCTTTGATATCAAGTGTTCCAACGGAGGGTTTTGAAGTTTTATTAAACCACTGGTCGACCGAGCGGACGACCAACCGATCGATCGGCCAGTGTAATTTTTTTTACAAATTTTTGCCTTGAGGTGGTCATTCGAGGGACGACCAGGAGGACACCTGGGGGACATCCGGTGATAAAAATCTAACGACAATGAATAGTAAGTTGATGAATGAAAAGTGAAATCCTAGATTTGATATGTATTTGATGAAATCGTTGGAGTAGGTTTTGAAGCTATTTTTCATAAAATTTAAATTTGATGACAGTTTTGAATAATCATTGGAGATGGTCTTACTAAAATATAAATAGAAAAAAAAATACACAAAATAACATGATAAATTTATATATATATCCATTTTAAATCAAACGATTCGTTAAAATAGTTTATGAATTTAAAAATATTACTATTACATCATTATGATGAGATTAATTATTTTTCTTTATCATTAATATAAAATTTAATAAATTTTATTGTAAGATTTTAAATTCTCCATTAATTTTTTCAAAGTTAATGTGTCTTAGAGCATCTCTAATGATTCAACAATTAAACAATTAACTATTATTATCTTTAACAATGAGTATTATCAAAATATTATATTTTACCAATATTTCTCTAATAGTGCAAATATTATTTAAGAAAATTTACCCATAAATCTTATATGGAGGAATGTTAATCCATTTAGTCTTAAGAGTATTAATCCTTTTTAATCATTTAGTCTTTTTATGTAATTTACACTAACACACTAAAAAACTTCTTAGTGTACTTTTCTTAAATGGAACACTCCAATCAATGTAATACATAAAAACTGTATATTTTTTCCAAGCGTAACATTCCAGCGTAACACACTAAAAAATTCCTTATTATACTTTTCTCAAACGTAACAACATAACATTATAAAAAAAAAAACTCAGAAAAATATTTTGATATTTTTGTATGAAGGTAACACCTAAATTAATGAACCTTTTCGGTAATTTTATGTTTTTGCTACGTAGAAATGTAGATATATGCTTACAGTTTGTAGAGTTCTTCAAAGAGGTTGAACAATATTATAGATATATAGTGTATATATATATATATGTTTTGTGTAAAATATAATTAAATGAAAATTGGTTTTAAAAAGTTCGAAATTAAAATACCTAATTAGACATTTAAAGCCTTTTTTTATAATTTGAAATTTAAAGTTTTTTTTTTTTGGGGGGAAGGGGTTGGATAATATATAATTTAATTGAATTAATATTTTTTATATAAATTATTGTTGTTTAAATTAGAAATTATGTGTTTTTCCATTTGAAGTGTTATTGCATTAAATTAGTCCTAGAAATTACCAAATGGGTGCATATAAAATATGCAATAATGTTAGGTATCATGAAAGAAGTATCGTAAAAAGTCTTCATAAAGATTCTCTACTTTTGGATTAGTTTATAGTGTTTGTAGTGTTTTATTGTAGAAAAATGAGTGGGAGCACTAATTAGTGTCATCACTAATGATGTGGCAGTGGGTCCCACCCACTTTTACAATGTTGTTGTGTCTATTTTTTTTTTTTTTTTAAAAAAAAATGGGTGTCACATCATTAGTGGTTGTTTTAGAGCACCACTTTTAGTAGTCTCTATCATTCCTCATGGTTTAAATTTATTTCACTCATCGATCTTTATACAATCATCCTTAGATTAGTTTCATGATATTCTTTTCATGATACGTAACATTACTCTAAAATATGATATGATATATATATATATATATATATATGAGTTCATGAACTAAGCTATTAATAGTAATATTATACAACCAACGAATGAATAACACACATGTATTTTTTTAGAGAAAAATTAGGGATCATGAAATTTTTTTCATGAAAATGATCATGAAAGATTTATGATTCTTGGATTACCTTGATTAGTGTGTGATGTTTTATTCTAAGTGTAATCCAAAGGTCACAAAACTTTTATAATTATTTTCATGAAAGATTTTTCATGATACTTACCATTATTGATTTTTTTAATCAGCAAAATGAAACTGTATTAATGAAGAAAGCAAAATATGCTAAAATTTATATCAATAAAGAGGAAAAATGCAAAAAGCATCAACGCTAACACACATGTATTTGTAGGAAATTATACAATGGCGCTCATGGTGTTCGGAAATCCCATTACTAAGGAAACTTTGAAGGGAATGCCTGAGTACCAGAATAAGATAACAATAACACGCACAGATAAAGCGCACGTGGCTCTCAAAATGAAAAAGGAAACCGAAGCTCGAGCTTTGGAGTATATGGAGAACCTGAAAAAGGAAAAGTCTGATTGTGATGGTGGAGTCATCACATTTGGAGAGATTTACAATGAGACTGGGGGCACTATAAGATTTTCAGGCCAACATGATTTTTCTGGGAAATTAGCTGCAGAGAGCACGTATCCAGGCAAAATAAAAAATGGCCAGTGCGGTGTTTTTATCCATAAGGAAACTTCTGGAAAGACTAGTGGATCGTGTGGAGCTGTTGTGTATTGGGGCAAAAACAAGGTTGAGGAAGCCTGTGATTGGATGTTGTCTTGGTCCAACCCAACCGATGGGGACAATAAGGTACATATCTTACCTAGGTATTTTGAATTCTTGCTTGTTGTATTACTGCTAGTGTAATCGAAAATCAATAACGTTAGCATAATCTTATTTTCTTATTATTATTTGTTTATCATATTACGTGTCGAATGTTGTATTGATTTCGTGGATCTCACTCACTACTCATGTTTGTTATCAATGCGACATATGAAACAGCAAACACAACATGGAAAAAAAAATGTGGTCATTATAAATTTCAAAAAGCATATGCATTTAGTGACATAACCATTTTATATATGTTTGAATATAACTTTCGAAAATAAAAAATAAAAAAAATCTTATTATACTTGTAGGTCTTTACCAACATTGATGAACACGGTCACTATAAGCGAAAATCCAACGACCCTATTTGGAATCATGTCTATGAAGAGTTGAGCACGTCTGGCACCACCAGTGAACGTGATTGGAATGGTTGCGACTCATCTATGAGATCTACTTCTAGTAATAAAGTGACAAACGGCGTAGATGTGCATGCAACAGTGAAACTAGCCACAGCTTAGGCCTAAGAAGTTGCGATCTGCGACCCAGTCATACATGATGATATCTTTTGGAGTAATGTGTGGAGTATTAATGTCTTTCATATGGCAGTATGTAATAAATAATTTTCCCTATGGGAAGCTTCTCCTTTTAAATTAGTAAGCATGTTATAATTATAAATAATGTTATCATCACGTGCTGAAATGACTGGTAACTAAATGTAATGTTTTTATCATATGAATTCAATAAAGAAGAGAAGGTTTCCCCTTCTCAGTTGTGTGCCAATCATGCAAATTTTCGAAAGATGTTTTTAAATTATTTATAATGCTTATATTTAAGATTAAATTAAACTATTGAGTTTTTGGTGGGGTAATATGTCACCGATTAACTACTATACAATTTCTTCATATATATATATTTTTCCATATATACATTCAATCTTTAAAAGGTATTTTTCGTCATAAATATGATATGTGCACTTTACATGCACATTTTTTGTCTGTTTTGTTAACAAAATAGAAGCATAAGGATTAGATTGAAAATTTTCAGAAAATAAAGGGAGTACATTGTCTCGGTTTTTAGTTTGAGAGGGGTAAAATAAAAAATGATGATACTTGAAGGGGATAAGGTGTAATTTGCCAATAATAAAATGTTGAGAAAAAAAAAATACTAACATTACATAGTGTCATTTTTGGAACAAAGTAAAAAGCCACGTTTTTAGACAAAATGTCCAAAAATGTGGCTGCCAAAAACGCAACAAAATCTCTTTGGGAAGTGTCAAAAACGCAGTCCTAAAATTATAAATTAGGGCCTATGAAAAATAAATAAATAAACAAATCTCTTATGTTGGGTAAGGGTATTTTGGTCAAGTGTGATTTATGTGATTTTTTGGGGTGTTAAAAAAAAAAAAAAAACTTAAAATTAAAAGAAGAGAGAAAATAAAAATAAAAAAATAATAATACAGAAGACAAAAGAAAGAGAAGAGCACATGAACTGCTTGAAAGTAAAAAAAAAAAAAAATAGAATAAAGAAGAGTTGGGGGCCAATACACCTCACATAGGAAATAGCAGTAATAAAAAAAAGAAAAAGAAAAAAGAATACATAGGTAGTCAAGCCAAAAGCGGGGGGCCACGGCCCCTTACAGTCTCCACATAGATCCGTCCTTGATTGGATGTATGGTGCATTTGAATGTAACCATAGCAAGACCCTACAGCATTCTAGTTGGTACCTCCTGCACTTCATCTATTTGATTGGGAATTGGCTCAACTTTGTGAGAATGGATACGAGAGTCAACGTTTGGCTGTTAGCTTTTTAATTAAAATGGTCATAAAGTCAAAACACTTTGATCACACTTTTCTATTTTTTTTACATGTTTTTTTTTTTTTTATAAAATTAAAAAATTAATTAAAATAATTACTTTCCAAATGAACTCCAGTTGTAACTGAATGAACTATTGTCTATGTCATCATATGATGTAAATCAATTGTTAGGGAAATGAAGTAAATGCTGAAGGTGCAATTTTAGAAATGAGTAAGGGATAAAAAGAGGACTTCTATTAAGTAATTAAACTTAGGTTAATTAGTTTTCTCTTATTTAATTACTTAAATTTCGAGAGATGACATTTTGGACAATTTTTTTCTAGTAAAATAAATAAATAAATAAATAAATAAACCATTCTACTGACTTTATAGCACACACCTAATTGTTATTATTATTATTATTTGCTGAAGGTGCAATTATTATTATTATAGCTGTGGAGTGAAGAGGGGATGTTACCAAACCACATCCAAATATAAGAATTCCCCTCATTTCTCTAAAAGGACTTTATTATAAAAGAACAGTTAAACTTACAAAGTAGTCATCATCAATGTGTGCGAACATTTATGGTGTGTTTGGTTGGAGGATTTGGGAAGGGATTTGGAAAGGAAAAGGGAAAAAGTGTGTGAAACTATGTGAAATTTAGGCATATTTTATTCATATTTCACCTACTTTTTCCATTTTCCTTTCCAAATCCCTCAAATTCCTCAACCAAACACAACATTAAGCCATGCTCAAAAAGAATACCTCTACCCCTCAAACTACAATATCTCTCATCTGCTTTATCTACACTTGATTAGAAAGAATTGATTCACTGAAACCTAATTGAACACAAAAATCCTCTCCCTCTGAGCACAAAAACCAATCAAAGAATGTGCTACCATGAAGACATTATATACTTAACATGGTTATATATTTACGTGCAAAGCTGTCGTTCTGCTTCTGTGGCTTGCCAAAATATGCATCACTGATTAAATGAGGTGAAACAGGGAGAGAGGCATGCATGAAATAATGGTCGCGCGGGTTTTAATAGGTTTAAGCTTGATCAAATTTCAATGGTCGCGCGGGTTTTAATAGGTTTAAGCTTGATCCCTAAGCTCTCAGGGGAGAGCAGCTCTGGTGCTATGCATGAATACGTCAGACTAGGAGGTTTGGCGGGGTTTGATCCATTACTTGATGCTGCAGATAAGGGTAGTTGTTGCCTGTATAAGCCAAACCCCATTAAAAAGAATTCAATGGGAATCAACATTGCGTATGGGTGTTCTTCTGTCACTAGCGAGCCACATGACTGAACCTGTTATAGACAAAAAAATAAAATATTAATATATAAAATCATCCCACAATGTATTATCAATTATTCATAATAAGAAACTTACAAGTTGAAAGCTACAAACTTATTCCTAATGATCCAAGGCAATATAGGTAACTACTGTTGTACTGAAGTTGCTAACCGTTTCTTGAATTACATTCACTTGGAGTTTCAACTTTGTAGGTAGGTTTCGGACATTAGTCCAAACATATCTGATGGGGAATGTTTCTTGTCCAAGAATTTGAACATTTGGTCTTAGAATCCTGTACCATTTAGATAGTTGACAATATATATTTTATGTGGTATTTGGGTACTTAACAAGGAAAAAAAACATGAGCTTGTTAGGTAAGTTTAGTTGCTACTGTGATGAGCATGAGCAAGGTGAAATTCACACCAAAAAATGTATCACACTAATTGAGAGAGAATCAAAAGTGAGGAGAAAGACCAACCTCAACAAGAGCGCATATCTTTTTTTCCATCATAGCATTCATATACACTGATTCAGTATGGAATGGACTGCAATCGCCCACAAAAATGAGTGTTTTGCATGGTAGCTTCTTTAAGCCCTCTGTAAGGTCATGCCTCCTGCATATAAACTTTGTAAACAACTCATAGGGGTTTATTGGTAAAACAAAAACAAAAAAAAGGGGCAAATAGTGTGTGCAAAAGAAAGGAAAATAGCAATTACTAGCCAATAGAAAACTCATAAAACTCTCACTTTCAGCTCTTTCTGCTAAATTCTTATAATATAGTATAAATATTACAGGCAAAAGATTGTATCTGAATATTGGTGTATAGTTTGTTAGACTTGATCAAACCACTAAGAAAAAGATTATATCAGAATATTTGTGTATAATTTTTAGATTTGATCAATCACTCACCATGGATGGGTTCGTCAACAAATTGATCAGACTATAAGCATATTATGTCAAACAAACATGGTACTAAATAATATATAAGAAAAATGAGTAGTTCCACGAGACAGTCAATTCTTTCCAAGTAGGAGAACAAAATGTGTTTCAAAGAAAGGAAAAAACTAGGGCAGAATTGTTTTATGCACAAACATTGCAAAGAACAATATGATAAACTGAAGAAATGCGAATATAGTATACGCGCAAGAAGTTACTCATTCATTGCTTGAAGAAAGCGCATGACATTCAAACTTTGCCTTTCGTCTAGTAACTGCACACAGGAAAAAATAATGAAGGTCTGTCTCAGTTTGTAAGCACCTCAAAATCGACAAGGATGTAATAGATAAGAATTAAAAGGTTGCCTGTTTTTAGATGTAAAATAAAAGATGGATCATGCAAATATATATAACATTTGAATGTGTTATGAATACCAAACCAAGCAGGTATCATCCTTCAACAAATTCAACTGGGTTAAAAATAAATAAATACATAAGGGGGGAAGCCCAGTGCAAAAGGCTCCTGTCATTACATGGTTTGGGGAAGAGTCGACAGGGTTTGGGGAAGAGTCTGATGTACGCAGCCTTACCCTGCGCATAGAGAGGTTGTTTCCGTGTTTGAAACCCGTGACACCCAAGTCACATGTGGAGCAACCTTATCACTGCGCCAAGCAGATCTAACTAGTTCATGCACCAAATATAGATCAAGGTAACCAAAAAACCCACCTTTAGAGAGGCAAAATATTACAAATTGAATGGTCACATCAATCAAATGGACTCTCATCCCTCCCTCCTCAAACAAATGGAAGCAGGAAAATGGCAAGAACAAAATACCCCTTCTGTGCAACTTCTGAAATATGATTTCACTTAGTCGTTTTTACGACCTAGAAACTAAAGCCATTAGATACTCTTTCAGACTGAAAACAATAAGAAATCATATTAAGTTATAGCTTATTTTAGCTTACCCTTCGACAAGCTTGTATTACATCTGATTCTGCACCATTCATGCTAGACCTAAGCTCCTGGTAGGAATTCTAGGATTATTATTAAGTTCACCAAATCAGAAAGCAAGCCACAAATTAAGGTGATATGAATTACCTTACTGAAGTAGCGATGAAGAAGGCATTCCTTTAATAGACCACACATTCCATAGAAATATAACAAGTTCAATAATACCTGCAAAACCAAAGTTATCTTATGCCAACTTCTGGGATGGCCATCGAAATGTAAGGATTCTCCAAATCCAAAATGCCCAGGAGTGGAAATCCATTCACCATGCACTTGGATTGTGACATTTGTAGCATTTGTTTGTAAGTAATGCTTGCATTGAGAGATGCACAAAATAGCCTAGTTAACGTTATGTATAATAGAAAATTGAACATTTTACAAGTGTTCATTGATGATAGGATTTTTAACCTTGTTATAAAGCCATTCAGTCCACGAAGGTGCTTTGCATACAGGGGAAACAAGGATCAACCCACGTACACGTTCTCTATATTTCATCTACAAATATAGGTCAGACAACAAAAAACATGTAATGAAGAATAAAAACACAAAATATAATAATAAGGAAAAGAGCCGCTGACTTTTGCAAACTCACAGCAAAGAGTGTAAGAATATAAGCACCAGCAGTTACACCCAAGCAGAACACCTCTTTCAGTCTGAATGAGAAAAGTCATAGATTAAAAATTAAGACAAAACTAAGCACTTACATGATAGGAAAGTATAACTCACCACAAAATAAAGGAGAAAATAAATTTAAAGATTGAGTTTCTTAATCTTTCATTTGGACACATCATTAATGCAAGCCATTCATAAGTGGCTCAACCTATAGGCAAGTTAGCAACTTGCCTAGAGCCCATCAAAAAATTCCTTTTTGCCAAAGGCCCCAATCATCCAAAGGCCTAGGGCATTGTTTTGACATTGGGCCCAATGCCTCAAAAATCTTTGGGCTACTGCTGAAACCATTTGCATCTATTTCCCTTTCAATGTGTTTCTGTAAATTTGTCATGATAAAAAGCATACAATCTCATTAAAAAATTAGGGGTTAATTATACGTTAGTCCCCTCAACTACAACTGAATATTATCTTAACCCCCTCAACTTTAAAACCATATACAAATACCCACTTCTGAAGAGGGTGACAATGAAACAATTTTGAAAGTCAAGTGGTCTAAAGTTAAAACCATCTATTTAAACCCCTCAACTATCAAAAACCATACAAATACCCACTTCTGAAGAGGGTGACAATGAAACAATTTTGAAAGTCAAGTGGTCTAAAGTTGAGGCGGTAAGGTGATATTTCGTGCTAGCGTAAAGGGGGGGGGGGCGGTAATTAAATTCAAGTAATTGCATAGACTGCACAAAAATGATGTACTATCATGTTCCTACTTTCTTCGAGCGCTAATTTTAGTTGTCATTAATAGGGTGGATTTGGTATATCTATTATGGATCATAGATCAACTATTCGGAACGATAGCTAATATCTCTTCTTACTCAGTGAGTAAAATATTAGCTATGATTAATTAAATGAGAATAAGTGTAGTCAAGATTTTAAAAAACGACCGCAACCATTGCGTAACGGTTGTGGTGGTTACTGCCACCCGTTACGGCCGCTATAGCGGTGTGACAGAAATTCACATGTGTAACCGCTGTTTCGGTATTACATAACAGCCGTAGCAGTGTCGTAACGGTCTGTAAGACACCGTTACACCCAATGTTTCAAAATGCGGCGTTGCGTAACGGTTACAGCGGTAGACACCACTCGTTACCCCCGTTTTTGTGGTGTGATTGAGGTTCACAGGTGTGTCAGACGTAGCGGCTGCCGCAGTGGTCATCTATGAAGCATGGACACGCCAAAATGGAAGCCGTGGGGGTGTCAGATACGGGGACACGCCGGGGACACGTACGGGACACGGCATCTGGCGTGTCCCCTTAATTTAATTTATTTTTTTACAGGGGATACGGAAGAGACACTGCGGGGGACACGCGTGTCCAAATCTGGACACGCCATGGACACAACGACACAGCGACAAGAGTAAAATGAAAGGAAAAACGAGTGCAAACCTGATCAGCGACGATCCAGAGCCCCATTTGACTTCAACGAGCTCTGTCTCTCGCCTTTGCCTTCTCAGATCTCTCTCTCTCTCACCCCTTTGCCGTCTCAGAACTCTCTCTCTCTCTCGCCTTTTTTCTCTCCCTTTCCCTCGCGATCGCGATCCTCTCTCTCCATCGCGATCGCGATCGCGATCGCCTCCCTCTCTCTCGCTTCTGTCTTTGCTTCCGTCTGCCTCTCCCTCGGTTCTCTCCCGTCTTTATCTTCTCATCTTCTAATTCATCATATATTATATAATAACTATTATTATTATATAATAATACTCATATATATTATATAATAACTATTATTATTATATAATAATACTCATATATATTATATAATAACTATTATTATTATATAATAATACTCATATATATTATATAACGTAGTATAAGTAATATAATATTCATTACATATTAATAAATTGAAAAAAAAAACACATGTATGAAATAAAATAAAAAAATTAATTGGAACACATTTATTTAAAAAATAATAAATAAATAAAATAATTAATATGTATTAAAATAAAAATATTTATAAAAAAATTAAAAAATTTGCCGTGTCCCCTGTCGTGTCCGTGTCCGTGTCCCCATTTTTAGAATTTGCCGTGTCCCGGTCCCTGTCCGTGTTCGTGTCCGTATGCGTGTCCGTGTCCGTGTCCGTGTCCGTGTTCATAGGTGGTCATAACGGCCTATTACACACTATTACGTAATTGGTTCCGCAACTTGCTTCTTTCGAAAAAAAAAGCTAAAAATTGGGGAAGAGAGAGATAGAGAGAGAAGAGGGAAGATGGAGGAGTAAGATAGAGAGAGAAGAGGGAAGATGAATAATATGTTATTGATTTGTTGAAGCTGTAAGACCTATGATATTCTATTCAGCTACTATCAGTCAACCATTTTGTTTATATGTATCTATCTATATATTATTTGAAAATCATAATAATAATGTGGTCATTATCGATTTGGCTTGATTAAAATATATATATATATATATATATATAGACTCTTATTTATTCTCTTACTTTTATCTTGGTTTATCTTATATATAATAATTAGTGATTGATTTTTTTATAAAATATCTAGAAAACATAACATCTATAATTATATATTAATAGATATTTTACACATGTCAATTTTTATTAGTTTATTTTATTTTTATTTACAGGTTATCTAAAAAGAGAATGAATATTCTAAAATAAAAAAATTTCTTTTTAATTTATTTTTTAATTTTTATATGATTACATTAGCATGCATAATTTATTTTTCAAAACTATTCGAGTTAAAATTTGCATATGTTTTCACAAGTATAATAATTAAAAAAATAATTTTATACATCTAAGTCCAATAGAAAAAATTTTGCCACAAGCGTAATATGAATTTATGACATATAAAGTCATTAATTATTAAAATAAAATGTAAAAAACTCAGTTTATAGTGATTTAAAAATATGAAATATATTGGATTATATTTAAAAATTTACAAAAATTGATTAATATTTGTTTAAAACCCAATAAATATGATTATGGAAAAAAAAAAAAAGATGCGTATCGGTAAATTTTTTTCAAATTGTGCACAAAATAAAAAAATTCACGGTTCCAGTTACCGCAACCGTTACGCTATAGCCTTTACACCCCACAACTGCAACCACGCCACCGCCACCGTTACGCAACCGCAACCCCTTTTCAAAACCTTTAGTGTAGTTAACCATGCCAACCCTCATTTCAGATTTCTTTAGAGTTCCCTAAACTCTAGGAACACGAAAACTAGATATATCTTATCATCAATGGTTACCAAGTTCAATTCGTGTGGTTAACGTAATTAACATTGGAACTTTCCATGCTATTCTCCTTTTCCTTCTTTCTTCCCCCCTCCCTTTTTTTGGTTTCTCATGGATAGGAATTTGCATTAAGACATGATAACGATATACATAACATTTTGAATGTAAAAACTCCCCCGGTAAATTATACTTTGTACCATGCACTTTGTACCAAATCTCACTTTTGTCCCTACATATGAAATCGTGACAATCAAATGATCAACCCCTTAAGTTTTCGTGAAGTGTCAATGCTCCCTTTTTGTTACTTCACTGCACAAGTCTTTAACAAAAATCAGTAATGTGACGAGCATATGATTACAAAATGAGTGCAAAGGAGAAAAATCACCACCATTCCCTGCCTATACACATTTCGTCTCAAAATTTATATCCAATTACGATTGTATTTGGCTAAAACAAAACACAAAACGCAGATTGTGAACAATTAAAGAGATAAACTAGGGTTTTGCAAAAATTGGAATCAAGAAGCTCAATTTTCCACAGTAACACATGTTTAGTTTGTATTTGTGAAATAATTTTGAAAATAATTTTTTGGAAAGAGTTTACAAAATTTGAAATTTTGTTTAGTTGTATGTTTTGAAAATGGTTTTGGAGTTTAGAATGATTTAAATTTTTTTTTTTTTCTTTTATAGTTGAATAGATGAGTGTGAGAGAAAAAGTGATTGATTGATGTGTAGAATGTGAGAGAAGGAAAGAGGAGAGAAAGAAAACAATTGATTGATTGATGTGTAGTATAGAGAAAAGTGATTTTGAATTATTTATTTTTTTTCAAAAATTTTCAACCAAATAAGTTTTGAAATTTTTTCTCAAAAATTGTCTCTCAAGAGACAAACCAAACAAGGCGATAGTCTTCCGTTTATTAATCTTCTTTTCTCTTCGATTTCTATGCTATCTTTTTTTTTATTTATTTATTTCAAAAACTATGTTTTCTTACTTCTTTGTTCCTGTATATATATATATATTTTATAACTCACACATTCTTAGCACAGTGTATTGGTGGGAAACAGAGATGATTTTTAACTCTTGCCCTCATTTCATAGTCATATACTTGTCACATGACTAGATTCTGTTAAAGACTTAAACAATAGAGTAACAAAAGGAGGACATTGACATTGCCAGAAGTGCAGGGAGTTGACTATCATGATTTCTTGTGAAGGGATCAAAGTGGGACTTGGTGCAAAGTGTAATTTACCCAAACTCCCCATTGTCTCCTAATTTCTATACAAGGGGTGTACTAAATTATTAAAAAAGTAAGTAGCATACTAATACTTGTGCTCACAAGAGAAGAATTCTAGACAAGGGATTTGTCTTCCATGAGAACTAATTTGGCCAATGTCTTTAACACTACATATATAAACAACAACAACAAATCTCTTTGCTACAATTACAATAGTATCCATTACTTTCTCAAAATTTGTGAAATTGACAATTAAGTTGTTTTAGCCATTCGTAAAAAGAGCAGGTCCCAATGAATTGGCACCATTAGGGGGCACATTTGAGCCCTGATGAGCCCATACTTCATTTTACAAATTTCTGAATGCCATGATCATTAACCAATCATATAAAATTTTTAATCATGTAAAGTAAATTATTAAAACTAAATAATGACTATATAAAAACCCAATGATTTAGGCCATTACATGACTTTATGAGACAAGTTGAAGGAAAGGTGTTTGTGATGTTCGGTTACATTTTGGGGGCCCAAAAACTGCATATAACTCCCTAATCAAAACATTGCAACAGTACGATTAGTTTCTAGTTTCTTCAAAAAAATTCCAACCTTCCATTTGGTGATATACTCTAAATAAAAAGTGGCTTTATTCCTGGGTGATGGGGGAACCGCATTAAGAAAGAGCTATTCATATGATTTATGCAGGAATACTATAATTTTTCATTCAAATTTCAACCTCAGTAGCCCAATCACCTGGCTTAGTTTGAGCTTAAATTGGAAACGTGAGGTAGTGGTGGGCCTGCTATTTGTTTAGGGTTGGTATTGGGCCTATTGGCTGGCCTTCAACTTGACTCAACTGATTCAAGTTGCAGCTCAATAACCCTTATCAATAAACACACAACTTCGTATTATTGTTCATGATGGAGGCAATACTACTATGTAAAGTTCAAGATACAATTTTGTGGGAAACATGTAAATCTGCGTCTTCTTACTTATAATCAGTGGTGTTCAGATGGCATAAATAGTTGAATCACCTCGCTCATGTTTCCATGGTTCCACTCTGTAATGTATTAAGTGCTATATACAATATCAAATGCCACAATTCCAAGCTATGGATTCATTGTTCTAGATTTTCCTGCAGCTCATAAAATCTTAATGAGTCGATCACATTCTGACATATGATTGGCAAGTGAAACTTTGTTTCTGTATTATCTGATCCCTGACATCAAGGTTACAAAACTCCAAAAACCCATCACTATGTCAAATGGAGAAGAAATAGCATTGAAGTCTCGCTAGCACCTATTCTCATTTCAGTTATAAATACCCCCATACAAGTATTATTTGATATCAAGATACTTATGTGAAAGACTTTGTCAATTTTCAACAAAATATCTCTTGTACAAGAATCTTGTTATCATTTTGCTTGCCAAGGGACTTGAAATCTTTGAAGTTGAAATTATACAATGGTATTAATATCATTGCAATGGATGACTGAAAATATGGTCTAATTCCAAAGATTGAGTCATGGGAGAGGATGTCTATACATCTACAAGCCAAGCCACCACAATTTAAGCATTAGACTTCAAGCATCTTAGAGGCAATTGTTTACGATTCCGCACTGATACATTTGGCTTGACCAAGTGAATATAAGCCTTTTGGGCACCATCCCTCGTAAGCCGGTTTTCAATGGCAAGTTCTACCCAATGGCTTGTATCATTTGATATTAGAGTCAACCACCATGTCAAGTATGGGACCAGTCTGCAACCTATGAGTATGGGATAACATTGGTTGTAGCATTGTGGCTCAAGCCATGGACGGGAAGACATATGAGTTGGATTAATACACTTGGTCACATGAAAACAAGCCTCTCCTTCCCATGAGAACCAACAAGACTATAGTGGATTTCAAATAAAGGGATTTCAAGTTATAAGAAAGTTAATTATTGGAGGTGGATTGATAATTTTGAAGTAAAGGATGACAGAGAGATAGGATGATGCATTGTGTTGATATTCTGGTACAAATGGAATCATTCATGGAGGGATTTCAAATACCTATGCTCACCTAGTTATTTCAAACCCATTAATCTAAGAGGCTAAAACTCTCAAATCCATTCTTGAAAACTATATTTAAAATACTAGATTGAATTAAAGGTTATACTCTTTGAATGATTGATGCTAAATCCGTTCATTTCAAATCCACAAATGAAAATGCAGCCAAAAAGAAAAGTAACAGATGGAACAAAGCTTATACTCAAAACTTGACAAATTTCATACTCTAGGAATCAAGTACTTCTGCACAGAATATAGTAAAAAAATTTATTGTTCCCACAATTAGTGCAATTGCTCCGAAGATAAATTGAAAAATAAAAAGCATTTACATACCCAAAGAAATCGACCACTTCGGCAACCTGGTCTGCAAGGTCATCCACACTGAGCAAAGGCACATCTGAAGGTATCACAGCAGCTCCCAACTGCACGAACTCTTAAGCAAATGGCAAATGAAATTCATTAGAACCTCCAACCAACAGAAGCAAACAAAAGAAAAGAACAAATCAAATGTGATGTGAATACGATCCTGACCTCATGCCCTGGGGCATCAATATGGTAAATGCAGAAGTTGTGAAGCAACAATGAAGCTGAGTCTGGGGAAAAGAAGAGACCTTGGAAACAGGACATGTCTGTAACACACACACACAATTATCTAATTCTAATTGATATCATATCAAGAACTCATTAAAGCAACATATATCATAACATCAATTTGTGAAATAAAAAGAACCAAGAAATGATATACATACAATTGAGAGCAACATCTGGGTATGTTATCAGAGCAGGCTTTTCTTGATCCCCACAAACCAAAACAGTGATTGAACCTTTGCTTGTTTTAACCAAACATTCCTGCAATACCCATTAAGCAGAAAGATCATTTTATAAGAAAAAAAATTCAAGAATGTGAGTGAGAGTGTGTCTTGAGAAAAAAAAAGAAAAAAAAAATGAAGGAGAAATTAATGAGATTCTTGGTGGGTATAGTTGTTACCTTCCCTCCAAGAGGCATCATATCAATATCAATAGAGACAGAGTCAGTTGAATCACCCATTACTTGTTCTTTATAACTACAACAATGCAGCAGCTACAGAAGAATCAATTGACTTATCAGTCACAGCTTCAACAAGAAAATGAAAACAACTTCTTGGTTTTCTGTTCTCTCACTCTTTTTCTCTCATCTAAATGCTTCTCTCACTGGCACTCAAATTTGTTTTTTATTTTTTTCTTTTTTTGGATGTTCTTTGAATTACCCAAATGCCCTTCAAGTAATGATGGAATTACAGTATCAAGGGTTTCCCTTTTTGGACTCATTGGCAAGTTTGTCCTCTGGTCACCTCATGTTCTTTGTATGTTTTTGTTTAACCAAAAAAGTGACCGTTGAAGTTGTAAAAACGGCCAGAAACACATTTCATATTTTCGACTGCCCAATGTGCCCATGAAATTGGAAATTTAACTTCTGGGGTGAACGGTGTCGTTTCGTTCAAGGCAATCTCTAGAATATCACCACAAAGGTCTTCTGATCTGAGAGGTAATTTTGGGTTCATATTATGGGCTTTTGAGTAATTTAAATATTGTGTAAGTTTAGTTGCTACTGTGATGAGCATGAGCAAGGTGAAATTCACACAAAAAAAATGTACCACACTAATTGAGAGAAAATCAAAAGTGAGGAGAAAGACCAACCTCAACAAGAGCGCATATCTTTTTTTCCATCATAGCATTCATATACACTGATTCAGTATGGAATGGACTGCAATCGCCCACAAAAATGAGTGTTTTGCATGGTAGCTTCTTTAAGCCCTCTGTAAGGTCATGCCTCCTGCATATAAACTTTGTAAACAACTCATAGGGGTTTATTGGTAAAACAAAAACAAAAAAAAGGGGCAAATAGTGTGTGCAAAAGAAAGGAAAATAGCAATTACTAGCCAATAGAAAACTCATAAAACTCTCACTTTCAGCTCTTTCTGCTAAATTCTTATAATATAGTATAAATATTACAGGCAAAAGATTGTATCTGATTATTGGTGTATAGTTGTTAGACTTGATCAAACCACTAAGAAAAAGATTATATCAGAATATTTGTGTAAAATTTTTAGACTTGATCAATCACTCACCATGGATGGGTTCCTCAACAAATTGATCAGACTATATACATATCATGTCAAACAAACATGGTACTAAATATTATATAAGAAAAATGAGTAGTCCTACGAGACAGTCAATTCTTTCTAAGTAGGAGAACAAAATGTGTTCCAAAAGAAAGGAAAAAACTAGGGCAGAATTGTTTTATGCACAAACATTGCAAAGAACAATATGGTAAACTGAAGAAATGCGAATATAGTATAGGTGCAAGAAGTTACTCATTCATTGCTTGAAGAAAGCGCATGACATTCAAACTTTGCCTTTCGTCTAGTAACTGTACACAGGAAAAAATGAGGAAAGTCTGTCTCAGTTTGTAAGCACCTCAACATCAAGAAGGATGTAATAGATAAGAATTAAAAGGTTGCCTGTTTTTAGATGTAAAATAAAAGATGGATCATGCAAATATATATAACATTTGAATGTGTTATGAATACCAAACCAAGCAGGTATCATCCTTTAACAAATTCAACTGGGTTAAAATAAGTGAATACATAAGGGGGGAAAGCCCAGTGCACAAGGCTCTTGTTATTACAAGGTTTGGGGAAGAGTTGACAGGGTTTGGGGAAGAGTCTGATGTACGTAGCCTTACCCTACGCATGAGGAGGTTGTTTCCATGTTTGAAACCCATGACACCCAAGTCACATTTGGAGCAACCTTATCGTTGCGCCAAGCAAATCCAACTAGTTCATGCACCAAATATAGATCAAGGTAACTAAAAAACCCACCTTTAGAGTGGCAAAATATTACAAATTGAATGGTCACATCAATCAAATGGACTCTCATCCCTCCCTCCCTCAAACAAATGGAAGAAGGAAAATGGTAAGAAGAAAATACCCCTTCTGTGCAACTGCTGAAAATATGATTTCACTTAGTCATTTTTACGACCTAGAAACTAAAGCCATTAGATACTCTTTCAGACAGAAAACAATAAGAAATCATATTATGTGATAGCTGATTTTAGCTTACCCTTCAACAAGCTTGTATTACATCTGATTCTGCACCATTCATGCTAGACCTAAGCTCCTGGTAGGAATTCTAGGATTATTATTAAGTTCACCAAATCAGAAAGTAAGCCACAAATTAAGGCTACATGAATTACCTTACTGAAGTAGCGATGGAGAAGGCATTCCTTTAATAAACCACACATTCCATAGAAATATAACAAGTTCAATAATACCTGCAAAAACAAAGATATCTTATGCCAACTTCTCGGATGGCCATGGAAATGTAAGGATTCTCCAAATCCAAAATGCCTGGGAGTGGAAATCCATTCACCATGCACTTGGATTTTGACATTTGTAGCATTTGTTTGTAATTAATGCTTGCATTGAGAGATGCACAAAATAGCCTAGTTAATGTTATGTATAATGGAAAATTGAACATTTTACTAGTGTTCATTGATGATAGGAATTTTAATCTTGTTATAAAGCCATTCAGTCCATGAAGGTGCTTTGCATACAGGGGAAACAAGGATCAACCCACGTACACGTTCTCTATATTTCATCTGCAAATATAGGCCAGAAGACAAATAAATGTAATGATGAATAAAAACACAAAATATAATAATAAGGAAAAGAGCAGCTGACTTTTGCAAACTCACAGCAAAGAGTGTAAGAATATAAGCACCAGCAGTAACACCCAAGCAGAACACCTCTTTCAGTCTGAATGAGAAAAGTCATAGATTAAAAATGAAGACAAAACTAAGCACTTACATGATAGGAAAGTATAACTCACCACAAAATAAAGGTGAAAATAAATTTAAAGATTGAGTTTCTTAATCTGTCATTTGGACACATCATTGATGCAAGCCATTCATAAGTGGCTCAACCTATAGGCAAGTTAGCACCTTGCCTAGAGCCCATCAAAAAATTCCTTTTTGCCAAAGGCCCTAATCATCCAAAGGCCTAGGGCATTGTTTTGATGTTCGGCCCAAGGCCTCAAAAATCTTTGGGCTTCTGCTGAAACCATTTGCATCTATTTCCCTTTCAATGTGTTTCTGTAAATTTGTCATGATAAAATGCATAGAATCTCATTAAAAAATTAGGGGTTAATTATACTTTAGTCCCCTCAACTATAACTAAATATTATCTTAACCCCCTCTCAACTTTAAAACCATATATTTAAATCTGTCAACAATCAAAGACCATACAAAGACCCCCTTCTGAAGAGGGGGTGACAATGAAACAATTTTGAAAGTCAAGTGGTCTAATATAAGATTTTAAAGTTGAGGGGGTAAGGTGATATTCCGTGGTGGCTATGGGGAAGGGGGTGTGGTTGGCTTTGGCAAATTGTAACTAAATTCAAGTAAATGCATAGACTGCACAAAAATGATGTACTATCATATTCCTACTTTCTTCAGGCGCTAATTTTAGTTGTCATTCATAGGGTGGAATTGGTATATCTATTATGGATCATAGATCAACTATTCGGAATGGTAGCCAATATCTCTTCCTACTTAGTGAGTAAATTATTAGGTATGCTTAATTAATGAGAATAAGTGTAGTTAACCATGCCAACCCTCATTTTAGATTTCTTTAGGGTTCCCTAAACTCTAGGAACACGAAAACTGGATATATCTTATCATCAATGGTTACCAAGTTCAATTCGTGTGGTTAATGTGATTAACATTGGAACTTTCCAAGCTATTATTTTTTTCCTTCTTTCTTCCCCCCTCCCTTCTTTTGGTTTCTCATGGATAAGAATTTGCATTAAGACATGCTCATGATATACATAACATTTTGAATGTAAAAACTCCCCGAGTAAATTATACTTTGTACTTCTACACTTTTTAATGAGAATGAATATTCTTTGTATTGAATGAATTACAATTGTTATAGAGTGAAGATATATTTATACACTTCAATGAATCCTAACCATAACTACCTAACCTTGAATCTAACTACTAAACCATAGTTAACACTGGATAGTTAATCTCTAACAAACTAACCACCTATAACAAACTAACAACCTATACAGCTGGATGGTATTACACATGTGTGACTTAAGCTATAGATGAAACTGCTGTAGCTTGAGCTGTATCTGTTGTTGCAACTTGCTTTGTATCTGTTGCAGGTTGAGCTTGAGCTGAAGAGTTTGGTAGCTGCTGTGTGAGCTGTGATAGCAGTGGCTTATCATGGTGCTTATCATACCCCTGCAAGCTCAAGGGACTGGGAAGGACATTGAGCTTGAGCTAAAGATATTGAAACCGAGCAACAGATAGTGGTTTAGTAAAGACATCAACAACTTGATCTGAAGTGGGGATATGACAGATATGAAGCTTCTTGGATGCAACTCGTTTGCGAACAAAGTGATAATCAACCTTAATGTGTTTAGTACGGGCATGAAACACAGGGTTGTTACTCATAGCTAAGGAAGATAAGTTTTCACACTATAGGATAGGCACTGGAACAGAAATATGAAGGTCGGCAAGCAACATCCCAATCCAACTAAGTTCAGCAGAAGTTTGGGCTAAAGCTCTATATTCAGCCTCAGAAGATGATCTAGACACAGTTGGTTGCTTCTTGGCAGACCAAGAGATAAGATTAGGACCAAGATAGACACAGTAACCAGTGGTAGACCTGCGATCAAGGACATTACCTACCCAATCTGAGTCTGAATAGGCATTGAGAAGAAGAGGTCCAGGAGTGAAATGAAGACCATAAGATAAGGTGCCTTTAAGATACCTTAGTAATCTTTTGACTGAGGTAAAATGGCTAGTCATAGGAGAATGCATGAATTGACAAAGATGATTAACCACAAAGGCTAAATCTGGTCTAGTAAGGGTAAGATATTGAAGGGCTCCAACCAAACTTCAGTACAAAGCTGGCTGAGAAAAGAGAGAATTACCTGCTGCAGGAAGAGCACTAGAAGAGGACTTAGTAGCCATGAGAGAAGAGTAAGTTTTCCAGTCACTCATACTAGCCTTGGCCAATAAATCTGAGGCATATTTTTGCTGAGAAAGCACATAACCAGCAGCAGTTTTGGTGACAGATATACCCAAGAAATAATTGACAAAGCCAAGCTCCTTCATGGAAAAGGTTATATGCATATGAGTAATGAGAGAGGTAATATAGAGTGGATCACTTCATGTGAGAAGAATGTCATCGACATAGATGAGAAGAATGGTAATAGCAGTAGAAGTTTTCTTAATAAAAAGAGAAGAGTCACAATGGCTTTGAACAAATTGGTGAGTGAGAAGAAAATTGGAGAAGGTAGAGAACCAAGCTCTAGGAGCTTGCTTTAAACCATAGAGAGCCTTGTGTAACTTGCAAACAAGCTGAGATTGATTTGGTTTAACAAAGCCTTGAGGTTGGACCATATAAACTTCTTCTTCAAGAATACCATAGAGAAATGCATTAGATACGTCAAGCTGCTTGATGGGCCAATCAAAATGTAGAGCAAGGCATAACAGAATTCTGATAGTGGGTTGCTTAGCCACAGGACTAAAAGTCTCATGATAGTCCACCCCTTTAGTTTGAAGAAAGCCCTTGGCAACTAACCTTGCTTTATATCTGGCTATAGAACCATCTGAATTTTTCTTGATTCTATAAACCCATTTGCAGCCTATTGCTTGTTTTCCATGTGGAAGATCAACTAAAGACCAAGTACCTTGTTTTTGTAATGCTTGAAATTCTTCAAGCATAGCAGCTTGCCAAACTGAAGAAGAAGCTACTTGCTGAAAAGTTTGTGGTTTAGACTAAGGAGAGAAAAAGGAAAGACAAGTAGTGAGAGAAGAGGGAGAAAAGGTTGATTTGGATCTGGTAATCATGGGATAGTATTGGAAGAAATAGAGGGAAGATCAATAGAAATTTTCGAAATAGCAATCTGATTAGAAGGGGCAGTGGATAGAAGAGGAACATGAATGACTGGTTGAGCTCCTGAGTGAGTTTCAGTAGCAAAAGAAGAAGCTGGTTGGACTGAGTGAGTTTAAGTAGTAGAAGGTCAACAAGAGGAGAGAAAGCTGGTGGCTGAGTTGCTAACTGAGGGACAATAGGAGAGGAGGAAATTGGGTGAGCTGCTGGATTAGTTGCAGTATGAGATGAAGAGAAAGGTGAAGACCAGAAAAATTGCTGGAGAGATGCAGCAGTGGCAGAGGAAGACAGTTTGGAAGAAATCTGAAAAGGAAAGAAAGACTCATCAAACACCACATGTCTGGAAATATAGACTTTGCCTGCGATAGGATCAAGACACCTATAACCTTTGATGGAAGGTTGATAACCAAGAAAAACACATGGCAGAGATCTCGGTTGAAGTTTATTAGTGGTGTATGGTTTGAGCCAAGGATAGCATCTACACCCAAATGATCTCAAGAACATATAATCAGGTTTATGTTTGAATAAGACCTCATAGGGAGTAAGATTTTTAAGCTTGAGAGTAGGATGTCTATTGATCAAATAGACAACTGTTGCAAGAGCTTCAAACCAGTAAATCAAAGGTAAAGAAGAATTATGCATGGAAGTAATAGTAGTTTCAATGAGATGCCTTTGTTTCCTTTCAGCTACACCATTTTGTGAAGGTGTATGTGGACAAGTTAATTGATGATCAATGCCTTTACTTTTAAGAAAATTCTGAAATGGTGTACTAAGATATTCCCCTCCATTATCACTGCGAAGAATCTGAAGTTTAGTGTGAAATTGAGTCTCAACAAATGATTTAAATTCAAGAAATTTAGTGAAAACTTCACTCTTATAATGCAGAGGAAAAAGCTAAGTAAAAGCAAAAGTGCCCCAAACATCCGTATGGATGAGAGCTAAAGGCTTATTTACAGTAGAATTAGACAAATGAAAAGGCAACCTATGGCTCTTTGAAACACAACAATGTTCACACAAGCTAGAGCCTTTATTAGACAAAAGCTTAGAACCTAGATTATTATGAGAAAGAACATGATGAAGTTTCTTAGATGAAGGATGACCAAGTTTGAAATGCCAATTAGGTGTAATTGCAGGTGATGAAGAGCAAGAAAAACAAGCTTGAGAAGAGACAGATGTAACAGATGTAAATGCAGCAGGAGAGGCTACAGCAGAAGGGGAGGCACTGAATGGATAAAGTCCATTTGTGTAGCTTCCTTTATACAAGATTTTCTGAGTAATCTTGTCCTGAATAACAAAAGAGCTTTCATCAAAAGTGATAGTGCAGTGATTATCCATGGCTAACTGGTGAACAGAGAGCAAATTGGATGAAAGTGTAGCCACATGAAGTAGCTTTGTAAGATGAAAAGGAAAAGAAGGAGTTGGAAGAAGACCTGTTCCAGTGTGAGCAACGGCATGTGCAGAACCATCACCAACTGCATCTCCGCACGTGTATATGATGTTGTGTGCTCTGCAGAAATGCCTTGTTTTCCACACGTGCGAGGCCCTAGGCCACATGTGCAGCGATGCCAAACAACTATAAGCATTGAATAAAGCTATAGCATTCAATAGATGGTTAACCAAGATAATCAATTACATCATTATACAGTTTCATGACACTAATGTCTATGAAACGTTTCTGTAGACGCGCCCGCGTGGGCCTCCTCGTGCTACAGTTCGGACTCGATTTGTGTCACGGTTCTTAGTCTGAACCAAAGAGTCCAAATCCGAAAAATCGTTTTGAGAAACAGATTTTTGAAAAAGTAGTGCCAAACATGGACTGCTTTGCCAGATACAGAGTCGCTACCTAAATGTTTTATTTTGGTGAATTTAGGAAACCCTGACTCGGTGCCAAAGGCCACGTGTCCGTCATCACCAAAGTTGCCTCGGCTCGGGAGCTTGGGTACAATTGGGGAAGGTCAGCTATGAGCACCCCCTCTCGCCCGATCCGAAGATCGGCCTCTGCTAACCATAATATCCGTTTTTGAAAACGTTATGTGTTCTTATTCCAGTTATTAGCCTAGAATTACTATGTTATGCGCACAGCAAACAAGTATAGACCAAATCGCCTAAATTGGAACAAAACATTTCATGTTTGTTTTGAAAATGGTTTGCTACTCGCAAGTAGGTTAAAATGCAAGTTTTGCCACCCTCAAGTGGGCTTTTAGAAAAGATGGTTTTCCTACTATCTAGTGGGCTTAAAATCCACAGTTTTAATGTGTTATCCTAATTTAAGCAATTCGACCTCCATCCACAGGCATTCAAGCAGTTATATCACATAAGCAGCTAGCCTCATGGTAATCATGCTGTTATGGCAACACTCACACGCATGTGGTATGCTAAAGCATAAATGCTTACCGAGTACTCCGAGCCAAAACAAAAACTAGTTAATAATCATATGCATGATCCTAGTTCATGTTAAGATGGCTAATGCAACACATGCAAGATGCAACTAAGATAAGCTCGGCTAATCTACAATGACATGTGAAATGCTACAACTAACACGTATTCAATTTGAAATTGAAATACAAATGCAGTTAGAATGATGTGTCGAGCCCGGTGCATGCAAGACAATGTATGCGCGGTTCCGCTCGGAAAGTCACAGCCATGCACAAGTTGCCTCCACTTTGACTGTTATCCTCCTCTGAAGACTGCACAAGTCCCAGGGTTGCTTCTCTGGATGCTTCGGAACATCACCGGCTAAGGGGATTTGCCACCGGCCATGGAGAATGACCACCGGCCTCTTATTGAGATATCGGCCACGGATGGATGGCCGGTCGGCACTGCATATGGCCGGTCGGCCAAATCCTCCTGCAGAATCTGTTTTGACAGCAGCAGAGGGCAAAACATGGCATGGCAATGCATTTCAAGCAATGTTTGCACCAACCACACTCCTTATCATGTTTATGGCTCAAAGGAGCATGGTACTTGATTCTCGGACCACCAATCGCGCATTTCAATGCGTGATGGCCCAAAGAACCAAAGTGTGCAATTTCAATGTGGAATGAAATGCACATAAACAAACAATGAACTCAACCTCTATCATACTCAATTCAAGAGGCAAAGTATGCATGCCAATGTAATGCAACCTAGGCATGTGAGCTAAGTATGCAACATGATCATGCAAACAACAAAACCATGTGCAATGGGCCATGAACTAAACAAGTAAGCATGCAAGGCATATAACATCAATGTTAATGACACACATGCAACAGCATGAAAGGCATAACACATGTAAATATGCAAAGCAACTCAACACAAGAAGCATGCCAAATGCAATGGCACTTAAACATACAACATGTTAATAGACTAAGTACCTAAACATACAAACATGTATAGCATGCAAAAACATTCCAAAGGGATGGTCTTAAACTAATTTGGATAGCTCTCTACTAGGTCCAAAACAGTGGCCACAATGATGCAAGTGAGGCAACAAAATACATGGAATGCATGCACAATGCATTAACCAAGCTTAAGGCACAAAAATGCAACTCTACCAAAGCATGGCAAGGAGGAAATATGGCATACAATGGTGCATGTTCCAGATCTGAAATGGCATACCAAATGACTCCAAAATGACCCCAAAACATGAAAACACTACCATTTAAGCATGCAAGAAGCTTCAAAACTCAAAGCTAGGCATGGGCATTGCACTACAAGCGTGCATAACAAGCGTTATTCGACCATGAGGCATGAAAACAGTGCTAAGGCAGTCCAAAACATTCATGAAATCAGTTCAAAGCATGGCCAAAAGATGTTAGCAAGATGGACTAAAATAGCATGCAACTTTGACTAGCAAACATGGGTTGTATGGCAAGTATATGATGCACATGGAATCTCACCAAACCATCAAAAATCAGTGAATAAAACATGTGAAAATAGGCCCAAATAACCACTGATATGCAACCATGGCATGCAAAAATGATGAGTTACTTTAAAGGGCCATGCAAGGAGTTATTAAGCACATGCAAGGTAGACATTTAGCAAGACCAAATCAACTCTGAAAATGAGTTCTAAGGGTCGTAAAACCCACAGAAAAATGCCTGAACCGAGCTCAAGAAGTGTGCAAACAAAGGCCCCTTTGTAAGGCCAAAAATGCAAGTAATGAAGACAATAAGGAGAGGGGATGACCCTCTCCTTCTTAGGACCTTAAGACACCCTCCTCACCACTGAAATCCCTTAAGATTTTAGTGGTGAGGAG